TCTGCTGTCGTTGGTTTTGCAATGGACACATATTTGTTTCACAATAATACAATATAAATTAGCGGACAACACTAATTAATTTTAAAAATAGGAAAAAATGTTCATTCATTCATTCATTTTCTTTTTGGCTTAGTCCCTTTATTAATCCGGGGTCGCCACAGCGGAATGAGCCGCCAACTTATCTAGTAAGTTTTTACACAGCGGATGCCCTTTTAGCCGCAACCCATGTCTGAGAAACATCCACACACACATTCACACACACACTCATACACTACGGACAATTTAGCCTACCTAATTCACCTGTACCGCATGTCTTTGGACTATGGGGGAAACCGAAGTACCCAGAGGAAACCCACGCGAAGGCAGGGAGAACATGCAAACTCCACACAGAAACACCAACTGAGCTGAGGTTCGAACCAGCAACCTGTTACCTACTTCACCACTGCCTCGCCGGAATTTTTTTTTATTATCAATAATGTGTAAATACTTCATATGTGTTACATAAGCAATATCACACAAGTAGCAGTGTGATGGCTGTATATCGGCACTGGTGGGAGGCGTACGTTAATGTTTCACCAGTGACTATATACAGCCATATCACACTGCTACGAGTTTGATATTGCATTTATAGAACAGTTTGACAGCATAATCGTGTATGTAATAAAGAAAATCAAACACGGGTCTAAAAAACATTTCTTCCGCTATTTATTCACATCTGCAGCTGACTTCAGAACAGCAGAAACCGTTGCTACTTCACCAACGTCACTTTAGAGCTAGCATTTGAATGATTCTCTAGCAAAACACATATAAAAAGTGATCACAAAAATGGTGATTTTGCTGACATTTTAAGATTATAAGGTTGAACAGCATAAAAATGACAGCAGTCTACAGAGATTTCCCAGTATTTTTCTGTTGCAATGGGGATATCACAATAATTAATTCAGAAAAAGCCAGAGAAAAGCAAACACTACCAGATTACTGTTGTGTTTGCAATAAGGAAAAACGCTAAACACATGCTGGCATTTATTCTTTCTTTCTTTTCACTGAACTAGCCTGCAGTAACAAAAACAGGATACGCATTAGAAACAAACAGATGGCCAACCAAAATTAACTCAGGAGTATACAATGAGTGGCCAACACAAAATACACACATTCCTGATATGTGAGTCCCATCTCACACTCAATACACTACAATTACTATGGTATAAATACAACACTACAACATACAAAAGAGAGAGATCGACTTGGAATGACATTTACCAGTTTTATAATGATTTGATCAGCTGTAGTTACAAAATATGCAGAGCTTTTCTCATCTAAGGGCTTATTATGCGCTCTCTGTCGCCATCTTGTGGATGGACAATGTCAAGCATCTTTGCTCTGCTCAAAGACAGTCTCTCAGAAATTATGAATATAAAAAATAGGCACTATCCTTTTAAATAAACTGCAAAGTTGCAATCTAAACAACTACATATTTACCTATAAAGCCTCAAAAGTACACCAACAGCAGCAACATTTATCAAACTGTAGAGTTTCCTCTGCTTGTGAAGGGTGAAGAGGGTGGACGAGTGCTGTTATTTGCAGAATATTGCACTTCTATCAGACAATCAGATTCAAGAACCAGACAGAACTGTTGTATGTATATACATAAATACATAACGCAATATATAATTTTTTTTTATCAAAACCAAATCAGGTAATCCTTTAAATATCTACATATGAAGATTGAAGAATTCAAAGTAGTTTAAAGTATAAAATGTTCTATAAATTTTAAGAACTTTTAAATTTTAAGAAAATTGTGTGTTATTTATGTATAAAATGTTGTAGAGATCATTAAGATGTTGTCTAAAAACTTGTAGCAAATATATTAAATTAGCTTGGTTGTTTTTAATTTTCTATTATAAAATCTGTTACTTTACAGTTAATCTAAATAAACTTACAAATAAGAATTTTAATTGATTAAAAAAATTGAAATATCTAAGCAAAAAGGGCACACTTTTAGGTTTCAAGGGTTAACTACATTAGTTAACATGAACTAACAATAAATAAAGCATTTATAAGTCGATGTTGAATTCTGAATTCACCGTTAGAAACTCAAAAGTTTTTCAAATATATTTTTATTGAACATTTTTAGTGCAAAAACATTTCTGAAATTTACATTGAATAATAATGTAATGTAATTTAAGTCCTGACCCCCACATGAAAAATATAATAAAAAATAGTTATAAATAAATTAAATCAAATAAAAGTTTTATTTTTTAACAATTTACCGTAAGCTAACATGAACAAATAATGAACAATTGTTTTTTTTATTATTATCTAACAAAGGCTTATAGTTGGCTCTACAAACCTATTGTTCATACATCATGTTTGCTAATGCATCTGCTGATAAAACATTTTTATAACCTTACCATATTTATTTATTTTCTTTTTTGGGGAGTTTGAGTTTTAAAATGTATTAAAAAATGAGGCAAAGCAAGTTTATTTTTTTACATTATTTAAATACATGACTTACAAGTCAAGCTTATTTAAATAAATGTACTTTAGTGTTTTGTGTAAATAAGGCGAATTGGGTCAGATTCTTCATTCAAATGTGTATTACCACCCTTTAGCTTTATGGTTAAATTAATGTTGATTAATTTACGTGGTTTCAGTGGTATATTTGGTAAAACACATTAATTGCATAGTAACCAACAAAGCACATTTGTGATTACTTATCTCTCATATCTTGTTTAAAGTAATTTATTTCTTATAGAGATGTTGTACTCACTTGATCACCTGCTGCTCTCCTGCACAGAAGAATCAGGCATGGGCATAACAACAAGATGATCACTTCCTTGAGATATTTCATTTTCTTTACCTCCAGAGATTAGAATGAATGAAATCAAGCTGGACGCCTTGTTTGAGCCAACTGCCGTCTGACCACCTTTCTCTCTCTCTCTCTCTCTCTCTGACCCATGAGAAGTGAGTAAACTCCAGTCAAACACACAAACTCCCCACAAGACCAGTGACTTGATGTTGACATCACAGAACCTGAAAATATTGATTTCAGAGATGTTTTTTATGCATATGTATGCTGATAACATGGGGATTTATTTGACCAAAACCATCTGTGTTCAATTGGGCACACAAAAAATGGCTGAAAGGTTATAGAGCAAACTGTGAGAAAAATAAGAGCAAAAATGAGACTCAAATGTATGTCATATAGGTGGGGAATAGGTATTAATGCATTTTTTCATAGTATGTCATAGTAAATATACAGTTTTTGTTTATTTCCAGTTTAAGCTTAAAAAATAAGCAGTATATGTAAATATAAATATAACCTGTAAAACATAACCTGATCAAATAATGTAATTATAAATAATGTAAATACTTTTATTTATTTGTTGCCATAATTATATTTAGGTTCAGAAATTGTTATTATAATTAAGAAGTAATTTATTTATTTATTTATTTATTTATTTTGCAATGTCTACTTTTACAAATTTGACACACACAAACCCCCGCAGAAATGTTGTTGCCTATATGTCATAAACAGTAGAGATGCATATAAATGGGCTACTATAAAATATATATATTAGGTTTCACAAGCTTTGAAGATTTATGCTTGTGAATTGTAGGTTACCTATAACTTTTGGCTGCTTTCAAAATGGCATAAATGATTTCAGAGTGCACTACAAAGGGAACGCAATCATCAGTCTGACGTTTGCTAAAGGTGAACTGTAAAAAATAATTTGAAAGCAAATTACACTTGAGAGAGAAAACTTTAAGCTTTTTTGATAATCATTCAATGTGTAGTGTTTGAAAGGAATAGGCCATAAAGGGGATAACTGGGAATAGAACACAACCAGGATTTATGCTTCTAACTTCAGCTCTAGAGGAGTATTTGCAACCGCACGTTTGTGGATGTTTATTGGAACAATGGATTTGGGAAACACTAAATCGCTGAATTATAATTGCAATGAAAGAACTTGCGACTTTAGTTGGGTAGTTGGATGGTTTTACTTTTATAATGCACTCAAATCCTCGCAGAAATGTTGTAGCCTATATGTCATATACAATACAGATACATTTAAATAGGCTAAAATAAATAATACAATTTTATGTAACCTATATTTTTGGTTTTCACAAGTTTTGGAGATTTCCGCTTATAAATCATATAGGTAGGTCACCTATAACTATTGGTATGAGCCATGGCCGTATTCAAAATGGCATAAATACTTTTAGCGTGCACTACGAAGGGAGCACAATTGTCAATCTGAAGTTAGCTATAGCTAAACTGTAAAAATAACTTTGAAAGCACATGAGAGAGATAGCTTTTTTATTAGTCATTTAAAGTGGAACATTCGAAAAGGTATGGGGCAGAATTTGGAATAGAACACAACCAGGATATATATATATGCTTCTAACTACAGCTCTAGAGGAGTAGTTGCAACCACACGTGTTTGCAGATGTTAATTGCAATGACGGATTTGGGAAACACCAAATGGCTTAACTATAATTGTAATGAATGAACTTTCGACCTTAGTTGGGTAGTTTGATGGTTTTACTTTTACAACACACTCAAACCCCCACAGAAATGTTGTAGCCTACAGTAGATGTCATATACAAAACAGATACATTTAAATAGGCTACTAGAACATAAAACGATTTTATGTACCCTATATTTATTTATTTTTACAAGTTTTGGAGATTTCTGCTTGTATTTCACCTCTAGCTATTGGTATAAGCCATGGCTGCGTTCAAAATGGCATAATTTCAGAGTGCACTGAAGTTCGCTAAAGCTGAACCATAAAAAAATAACTTTGAAAGCAAATTACACATGAGAGAGAAATCTTTAAGCTTTTTTATTAATCATTTAAAGTGGAACATTCAAGAGGAATAGGCCATAGGGGGGATAACTGGGAATAGAACTCAATCAGGAGCTATGCTTCTAACCGCACATGTTTGCAGATGTTCATTGGAACAACGGATTTGGGAAACACCAAATCACTATACTATAATTGCAATGACAGAACTTGTGACCTTAGTGGGCTAGTTGGATGGTTTTTGGAAATGCAGCCCTGGCAGTGATTGCACAACAGATGAACTTTGAAAGGGAACTAATGTTTGCTCATCCAGTACAGTGAAACCTTGGCATATTATTAGTGAGGCATATGTGTATGTGTGTGTGTGTGTGTGTGTGTGTGTGTGTGTGTGTGTGTGTGTGTGTGTGTGTGTGTGTGTGTGTGTGTGTGTGTGTGTGTGCGTGCGTGTGTGCGTGCATGCTTTTTTTTTTTGGTTTGGTACTTGGAATGTCTAAATCAGGACCAGTGAAGTTTTCGATCAATTTCAGACTAAACCTAATATTACTATGATTAACTGGAAGATGAGATGCAAGAAAAGTTTAAATACTTTCCACTGTTTTGTTTAATTATTTCATCATTGTGTCCTGACTCTTGGTCCATGAGCCAAAGAGCTGGAAAACAGTTTAAAATTATGCTTTAGGCTTTTACTAATCTCCACTCTTACCAATACAATACTAATACGCACCCTTTCAACAGTGGGAAAGTTGTACATGTATAGTTATATGATATAGTTGTATATAATCAAATTCTCTTCATTTCATCAGAAAAATGAAACTGTATTTAAAATGGAAGTTATAGCACATCTATATTACCATCTCTCATATAATTGATAAATTAGTGTTTTAAATATGTTGTATTTAATTTAAAGGTTGTCAGTAAAACCAAATGTTTCATCACATTATATTCAGATTAGTCAAGTCATGCAATGACCACAGCTCATAAGCTCACTACAAAAGAACATTACAAAAAAAAAAAACTTGATGTCATACATATTCCTTTTACTTAACCTGTAGAGATGTCTACTACAGGTTTAAATAAATAGTTCATGGAAAATCATTTGTACAGTACTTCAATTGTTTAATAGCGTATAGCAGCTAGTGTTTCCTCCCATAATGATAAACATCCAGTGAATGGTTAATGTGACTTTTTTCAATTTCATATGGCTCTTTTTACTGCATACATGCTGTAAAGTAATTAGTTAAATAGACTTCAGCATTCGTTTAGTTGTTCAAGCGTAAAACAAGATGAAAAGCCTTTAACACGCACATGCTGTCAGAATCATGTTAATGTATTTTTTTTACAGTGCGCAGGAAACTTTTAATTTAATACAGTGCTTCTTGTACAATTTGCTTCTTGTACAATTTGTTTATGTTGTATATCAGTCAGGCAGTGGAAATCTTTGATTTTAAAAGAAACTTTAAATGCGCCAATTTTGTAATGGCATGTCATTTACCGGAAGCATTACCCAGTTTACTGAAAAATTAAATGTGAATTTGACTTTTTTTATTTGAGGGTTAATTATCTTAAAATGAAAAGCTATTGAATTTAGTATTCTGGTCTTTGTTCTTCATTTGTAGCCCTTACTATTGTCCAATATAGTTTAACACTTTATTTTAGATCATCGTTAAAGAAAATTGTAATTTTAGTTAAATTCACTTCAAAACAGAGCCACAATTTTTTAGTTAATCTTTGTCTAAATAAAAAAGGAAAGGGAAGATGTAACTTTATTCATAGATTCTTCCCTAACTGGATTGAACCATGATTTAAAAAAAGGCAGGAACATACACCCACCATATTTGTGTACCATTACAACATTGGTAGATAAGATACAAAGATGTACTTTGAGGGTAATTGTCTAGTGATAAGCATTGTACCCAAATATTTTTTGCCAGTACATTGAAATCACATTAACACTTTAACTGCCTGCTCTACCAAATGGTTGGCCATATTTTGACTGTTTTAAATAAAAGCTGTTAAAGCCATTTAAGGAATGATGGTTTTAAATAAAGGTTTACACTGCACAGCATTGATAATTTACAAAACAAATCTAACGAACATAATCCTGTTACACTACTACACTTGATTTTGGTTTTATTGTAAAAAAGAAAACATGTTAAATGAGAATCTGAAATATTTTATAGCATACTTCAAAAATTAAAGATGATTTAGTATTCAAAAATGATTCATTTAGATTATGTTTTAAAAATAAATTGGTCTTACACTTCCTTCTTGTTCCTATTTGATTTTCATAGTATATGTATTCATTCCGGTACTTTTACCATAAAATGACATGTCAACCATTTGGTAGAGGTTTAAATTTGAGAAATTATGGGATGTGTTGAAAAAGATGCTATGAGTGTGTTAACTGACGACATTAGCAGTTAAGAAATGCAATCCAAAAATGTTTTTCTTGGTGAGGCAGTTATTTAAACCTCTGTAATTTGCACTTCTTGTCAAAACTGAACATACACTGCATAGTAATGATGGATTCAAAGATATTTTGCACGTCATCAGGTTAATACTTTATTTGTATGGTTGTAGTGTGGACAGAGGGAGTAAAGAGAACAAGAGCAAAAAAAAAAATGAACTGCAGATTGTAGACTTGAATTGGCAACGTGTGCCAACAAACCTCTGTATTAAATGGTCACAAAGTCAACAAGACACAAAAAAAGTTTTCAAACATTTCACGTCTTTGAAACTGCCCAAATATAATGTGGACCTCTAAAACAATGGCACAATATAACATTGTCACAAAATACCAGACGACTGAGTCACATGCCTACAACTATGACCAAGTGCAGAACATATGCAGCTGGTAGATTTGGATTGAAAATTGAAGCCTTTAAAGCATAGGTCTCAAGCTCAATTCCTGGAGGGCCGCAGCTCTGCACTGTTTTGCTCCAACCCTGATCAAACACAGCTAATCCAAATAATCAAGGTGTTCAAAAGAGTCATGAACACCTTCATTAGTTGAATCAACTGTTTGATCAGGGTTGGAGCAAAACTGTGCAGAGCTGCGGCCCTCCTGGAATTGAGCTTGATACTTATGCTTTAAAGGTTCTTTGTTCTAGGTGGACCAAGCTGATATTTTGTATTCATGTGTTGTTCAAAACCAAACATA